TACAGTGCAACCAAGTAATAAATTTTGAAATTACTCGAAATTCTTATTAGAAAAATGTAGCAATATGTCATTTCAAGGTTTCCACGCTGAAACTAAAGATCAAGAATTACAACACAATATAGGGGCACGCTTCCGCCACGCAGCTCGGTATACACTTGTAACAGCTGATACATAAAAAAAAAAGATTTGATTTTAAAATATCTTTAGTTTCAACGTGGAAACCGTGAAATGAGATTATAATTCGTACTTGAGCTCTTTGTACAGTGCAACCAAGTAATAAATTTTGAAATTACTCGAAATTCTTATTAGAAAAATGTAGCAATATGTCATTTCAAGGTTTCCACGCTGAAACTAAAGATCAAGAATTATTTATAATGCAATAAAGGCACAATACCGCCACGCAGCTCGATATACACTTGTAACAGTTGATACATAATAAAAAAAAAGATTTGATTTTAAAATATCTTTAGTTTCAACGTGGAAACCTTGAAATGAGATTATAATGCGTACTTGAGCTCTTTGTACAGTGCAACCAAGTAATAAATTTTGAAATTACTCGAAATTCTTATCAGAAAATTCGAGCAATATAATTTCATTTCAATGTTTCCACGCTGAAACTAAAGATCAAGAATTACAACGTATAGGGGTATACTCCTGGCACGAATGTCGGTATATTTCCTGTCGTATTCATGTATCCCGGTGGCGTGTATCCCGGTGGTGTGTATCCCGGAAAGGTGTATCCCGGGTGCGTGTATCCCGGGTGCGTGTATCCTGGGTGCGTGTATCCCGGGTGCGTGTATCCCGGGTGCGTGTATTCTAGATGTGTGTATACCGGCGGCGTGTACGCTATCGGGGGCATGTGCACTGGTGGCACAGGCGGTGGCGTGTATATATTATATGTTGGTGGCGGCGGCGGTGGTGCGTACGCTGGCGGCGGCGGCGGCGGTGGTGTGTACGTTGGTGGTGGCGGCGGCGGTGGTGTGTACGTTGGTGACGGCGGCGATAGTGTGTACGTTGGTGACGGCGGCGGTGATGCGTACGCTGGTGGCGGCGGCGGTGATGTGTACGCTGATGGCTGCTGCAGCGTGTACCTCGGGTCTCTCCTCCCCTTCCGCTCCCTCTGCATCACCCGACGCACCACACTATTTACCAACTGAAAAATAAAAATACATATAAATATATAAATATAAAATACGCGCGTAAAATAAGAAATATACAATATACTCGCGTATATTGTATACTCCTTTGTGGAAAGAATACTCAAACATTGAGGGCAAACGAGCGCGCGGATAAAGGTCGATTCAGACATAACCGTGCCGTACCCGCACCGTGCACGGACAGAACAATTAGACAAGGATGGAGACAATAGGAATCCTTGTCTAATTTTTCTGTCCGTG